TTAGTATATTAGGTTAGTAAATTAGTATAAGAAATAAATGATACAGAGTGCTCTACATTTTTAAAGTAAGTTGCAAACAGTTATTGGGCATTTTATCCATTGACTAATATAATCATATCTTTCTGCAAAAAGTGTAGTCACCCTCCAAAGTTTTTTAATTCAAAAATGTGCACTTCTTCATTTTTCACACCAAGAATGTAGAGACTGCCTCTGTGCACCACCACAATTGATTTTAAATCAAACAAAGATGTGGTTGAATTTTATTAATAAAAATTGAAAGAGGCTAAAAAGAAATCAGAAATTTGACTGACAAGGGGTTTCATGACAAGGCCTGTCACCCATTTCATGCCAAATAAAGTAGACTCTGTATCTGAAGTTGACTCGAGGTGTTGGATTTGCATTTGTACTTTTCAATTTAATTTTGAATATGAAGTCCAAAAAGAGGTCAGTACAAGGAAAGGAGGCTATCATTATCCCGAATAAAACAAAATAACCAGAGAGGGAGAGCAAAATCTTTATTAGTGGCCAAATCAAAAATCTTGTCTTCAAGAAAGAACGCAGTAAAAGGCCTGAAACATCACGGAAGTTAAGAAACAACTTCACAACATCTGGCCAAGCCAAGAAAAGAACACTCTCGGATATTATTGACAAGGTTTACAATGAAGAGATGCCTTCAAGAATGGAAATATAGAGAGTTTATAACAAGGTGCAAACCATTGCTTCCACTCAAGAACAGGAAGGCCAGAAAGATTTGTCATTAAACCTCTAAAAGAGTCTGCACAGTCCTGGAAAAATGCTGTAGACAAATAAAACCGCGGTTATCTTGTAGCAGAATGATGGGAGAGCAAGGAGCAAACCTGATTATGATCCACAGCATACCACCACATTATCTCTCAAACACAGTGTAGATACCGTTATGGCATGTGTATGCATGGCTATCAGTGGAAGCTGGTCACTGGTGTTTACTGATGATGTGACTGCTGAAGCAGTGCAGGTGTATCCTCTCTGCTGAGATTCAACCAAACCATGCAAACCTGATTAGGAAGGCACTTCATGGTGCATGACCCAAAACAAACCCGAGTCTCTTGAGAAATGGGATACTGTTCAGCACCCAAGTCAGTGACCTGATCTCAACAAAATAGAACAACTTTTCAGTTATTATATACAAAACTGGTGGCAGGGAGACCCACAAAAAAGCAGCAACTGAAGGTCACTGCAGTAAAGGCCTGGCAGAGCATCTCAAGGGAGGAAACGTCAAACAGTCCCAGACTGCAAAAGATTTTCATAAATAATTAAAAATAATCCTTGTATTTAAAGTTCTATTAGTCAATTACTTTTGAGCAACGTCTCTAGCAGGAGAGTTTATCTTCACTTAAAATGAACACAAATCACTGAATTTTCAAGCCGTTTGTTACAAAAGATGTAAAAACAGAAAGAAAAGAAGAAAGGAGAAAAAAAATGTAAAAACACTTCAAGTGAGAACAAGAGAAACACCAAGTCTCTGAGTTACTCAAGTGTGAGCTGGTTTACTTAACCATGGCATTGGGCTCCCAGGTTTCTCAGTATACAAGTGCACGCTGCACCACAAACACAGCTCTCAGATCTTGGATTGTTGGTGACAGTAAGAATGGCATACTTTCATTGCCTTTGTCTTGTAATGATTTCCTGCATTTCTCTTCCAAGTTTTACAGCAGATGATGTCAAAACACTGACCGGTAAGTATATTTTTATTTGTGCATTTTATGTATTTGCTGAAACTGTCATGAAAAATATTGGATCATTTATAAATATTAGATAAAATTCATGAATTGAACTGGAAGAACTGAAACGACTGATGTTCTTTTTGGGCACGGCTATAATGTACGTAATGGAATAAGAAAGCACATTTTATGCAGCTTTCAACTTCTTCAGCCTTACAATTAGAGTGAAACCTATAATCAACCAAGTATGATTTCAGGATAATTTCAGGATTTGGGGTATATGAAACCAGCTTCTTCTCACCCAGAAAATAGATTTCAGAATATAATTCATACTGCTCACTGGTGCAATACATTTATTATGAACCAGCCTGTGCAGAGATATTTTAGGCAGTGTCTCTAGTTATTACTGAGAACGAGGGTTAAATGATATCAGTATCAGGACATATTGTTACTTGGTACTGAAGTATAGTTCTTCAGATAAGAACACAGTGAACACTATCACTGGGTGGATAAATAGTCCTTGAGGGCTTCAGTGGATGCAAAGTAAATGGTGCTAAATTGTCAGGTCATTGTGCCCCAAAAGGCACCGCTAAGCCTGACCATGACTTGAGCTACATGGACTCTTTGGAATAACACAAGTTACTCAGAAATAGGTTCTTTGGTCTTTTAAGTGCCCTTAAATGAATTCTAAGGTCAGTGACTATGCAACAACATCAAAACATAGCTCTCAAGGATGGGATGCTACTTGGCCAGCATGGAGCTGGTTCAGTCCACGTTTCTATTATTTCCCCAGTCATCTCATTAAAAACCTCCATCCATACGTCTTTGTAACCTCTTATCTAATTCATTCGCTCAATGGACGAGAGGATTGACACCATCACAAGGCTAACCCAGAGATCCTTGAGAGGGAGCGTTCACACATCATCCCAAGAGTTTCATCTTGTTTTTACTTCTGAGAAATCATTTAAAGATTACTCCTCCCTTGGGGTCACTATCAGCTTTCTTTCACCAGAACTTTGTCTTCATGTAGCAAATTCTTTGTTGGTGCTGAAGTTGCTTTTCTCCCTCAGAGAAAAGAGCTGGATGTGTTGGATACAGTTGATCTGGTTAAATCAAAACTTTAGTAATGTGCCATGCACTGTCCTCTTAGAAGTTTCTATTCAAGCAATATCACAGTGCATGGCACGTTACTAAAGTTTTGATTTAACCAGATCTACTGTATCCAACACATTTTTCTTAAGAGAAAATTATTTTTCTCTTATTGTATTTTTTTTCTTCAATTTTTTTCATGCACTGCTTAAATAAGTTGACTGGATACAGAAATATTTAGGATTCTGCACAGAGTCATTTACATTGTGGGCGACCGTGGCTCAGGGGGTTGGGAATCGCATCTGTAACCGGAAGGTCGCCGGTTCGATCCCTGGGCTCTCTGTCCTGGTCGTTGTGTCCTTGGGCAAGACACTTTACCCTACTTGCCTACTGGTGTTGGCCAGAGGGGCCGATGGCGCGATATGGCAGCCTCGCTTCTGTCAGTCTGCCCCAGGGCAGCTGTGGCTACAACTGTAGCTGCCTCCACCAGTGTGTGAATGTGAGAGTGAATGAATAGTGGTATTGTAAAGCGCTTTGGGTGCCTAGAAAAGCGCTATATAAATCCAATCCAGTATTACATTAAAACAAACAATGTTTGTTCACAGTATAAAGTTCAAGTGAACACTTTCACCTTTTGTTGCCTTATTTTAATCATTTAAAATCAAATGATTTAATGTGTATTTTAATATTTTGTTAATACCAACATTTTGAATGCTACGTTAATAATAAAAACTGCAAATACTGGACAAATTACTTGATTTAATATCCATCCATCCAGCTTCTGTTTGTCCTTTTAAGGGGCGCTGGAGCCTATCCCAGCTGTCTTAGGGCGAGAGGCAGGGTACACCCTGGACAGGTTGCCAGTCTGTCGCAGGGCTAACACTCACATTCCCACCTATGGGCAATTTAGTGTTTCCAATTAACCTATCCCCACTAACTGTCTTTGGGCTGTGGGAGGAGAGTACTGGGGGAGAACCCACGCAAACCACCAAATACCAGACAAATTACTTAATTTAATGTTCCAAAATGGCATCTATTTATTTTAAAGTAAGTTAGTTAAGTAAGTTAAGTATGTGAAAAGCAGTGAAAATTCACTTGTAACAACTAGAAAGATCAACCTTTTTAAAAACACATGTGGATAGTTCTCAAGTTATCAATATTAAAATTTTGAAATATTAAAGTAAAGTACAGACTCAAATACCACATAATATTTAAAAAGTACTGTACATTAGTACAAAGCAGTGTGGCAGAAGTGAACAAAACAATCTGCTGTACTTTGTGGCTTGTGCTTTTATTATGTTTTTATTCTAATATGCATTTTATATTACCCCTGTGTATTAGTGGCATTGACCTGTGAGTATATTTGATACTTTGCTAAGGCCTTATAATACTCGTGTTACTTCTCTGTCTCTTATGTTAAGCACTTTGGTATAACGCTGGTTTTTAAATGTGCTCTTTAAATAAAGATTGTTGTTATTGTTGTTTAACTATATTTTGAAGACTGGCTGTAGCTTAACTACCTTCATATGTTGTTAGTGAGTCAAACAGTTTAGTTACTTTTTACTTGTGGTTGTTACTCAGATTACTATCGGTTTTGCACTGTAATAAGAAACTACAGATTTTCACTTGTACTTTACATTCCCCATCCTTGAAACCCCTTTGACCATTCCCCTTCCATTTTTTCTTTAATCCTGACCGCTGTGCAGGAACGCCCCGGTCATGCATTCGTCACTGAGCCACTTGAACTTTGTGCAGTGGAAAAGGACAAGTGTTGCTCGGTGCTTACGTAGCATTAACGTCATCGTGTTTTAATGCCCCAGATCTCTCCCTGAGATCTCCGTGTCTTTAGTCTGCTCACATAAATATATGATGCTTGAACAGTTTCACTGATAAACTGAAAATGAAACGTCACATGTGAATTGTCAATTTAATTATTGTTTTTGTTATTCCTTTTTCTAGTTTTAGTTCAAACGGTATATCTCCTTAGTCATGTTTTGGTGTTCAACTACTCCCAGTGTGAACTACTTTGTAGCATCTCAGAAACAAGTTACTTTGATCCATGTATATTTAATATCATCATTACAGAATAAGAACATGATAGATGAAATGATATTTTTAAAATGTCTCATGCTGATCAAAAAATACATTTTCCAGCTTCATCCATCAAAGAATTACTTATTTCATCACATCAAGAAAGCCTTTATGATGTAGATGAAGACTTACTCGACGTCAGGCAACGGTAATACGCCATCACAGATTGTCTGCCTCAGTTTTACCTCAAATAATCTGTGCAGAAAAGGATCAAAGGAACTCTAACTGCCCTTTTATCTGTTTTTCTCGCTAGGTGGACCAAACCCTCAGCTTCCCAACACATGCTTAAATTTTTTCGGCAAGCCGACCCTGAGACGAAGCACATTTCTAGGGCTGCAGAGGTTTTCCAAAAGACTCTTCGTGTCCTAAAGAAGCAAGTGAAACAGAGATATAATCAGGAGCTCACAACACCCGGTAGAATTACTTTCTTTTAGGAAACTCGGTTTCACCTTGGATGGAACATTTAGAAAAGTTTTCATTACATTTTTAGTCAGACCACCTTTACTAGTTCTGTCATTGTAAAACAGTTTAACCGGCCACACATGATCAGCAACAGAATTTCAATAATGTTTGCTCAGATTTAAAAGTTTCATATCAATCAGTCCAACTCTGCCTGCTTTGTTACTCTAGCTCAAGAACAACTGTTGTCATGGAAACATTTGAAGCTGATTGCAGAGCTGTCAAAATGTCCTCCTACAAGTCCAGCCACCTGTCGGTACACCCATCTCTACAAGTATCGACTGATATCAGGACTCTGCAACAACAGGTAGTTAAAATGACATCTGAACAACCGTTTCCCCTAAATGAAAACTTCATTTCATATCCAATGTAAATTTTGTCTTAGCAAGCACATTAATTAGGCCTCCAGGCAAAACTACAGTATGTCAGGATTAGAAAAGCCATTATCTGTTTTGATAGTTTCGATGCATACAGGTAGCAAATAAATGTATTAATAATCATCAGCATCATCTTAAACTTAATGAAATATATTTAGTTATGTTCACTTCACTGCATGCTGTTTTTAGTAAAGCATTTCTCAAACAATTAAAAATAAAAACTTCCTGAACTAGTCAACATTCTTGAATATTCAAGTACCTGTCAAGTTTCAAATGTTGATTCATCAATAATTTGTATATTCATAATTTCTCATTATTTTTAATTACTGAAATGCAACACGAGCCACGATCTCTTCCTCGCAGGGGAACAGGTGAACCTGCTTCCTAAGCTAAGCCCCTTCAAAAACTTCCACTCCTCCACTGCCCACTTGAGTCCGACTTCAAAAGCATGTGAAAGCCTATAGTTTGCCCATTTTAAAGACCCCACTTTACAGCTTTAAAGAGTATATTTTCTGCCTGGTGCAAGGCAGTCTTGCCCTCTGTGGGTAAACTCACCCTTTAGAACCCTTGCACAGGGGTTATTTAAAAAAATAAAAAATATATATATATTTTTTTTTATAATGGCCAAAAAAAAAGGGGGGGGGGGTGACTCCTTGTTACTTTACTTTCCTAAAGAGATTGGTGTCAAATGCTAGTTTTCAGCCTTAATGTTGTCATAATGTTAATTTTGTAAATTATGGTGATAAAGGAGGGCATGTTTTGCCTATGAGCATTTATTATCATTTGGTTTCTTCCCTCGCTTGTGATGTCTAATTAAAAGGAAAGTAGAAAATTCTCAAATCAAGAAGCTGGAACTATGAAATGTTTGTCAGCCGCCAGCTGATAAGTTATCTTGTTATCTTGTGTGTGTGTGCCAGCTGTTGACGAGGAGGCAAAAGGCAACAAAAAAATAAATACATGACAGGTTCTTGCAATCCTTTTTGGTTTTAAACAGTCATTTAAGAGCATAAAAATGATGCTGTTGCAATGATCCTAAGTCAATGTGCAGCAACGATGATGTTTCTCACAGGATCATAACCACAAACTAACCGTCAAAACAGATACTGTCATTTCTGTACATTTAATTTATATGAATGTACTGAATGCACCATTTTAAACCTTAATAATCCAGTAAACTGGATGATGCTTTCAGTAAGGGGTTATACAGTTTTGCATGGCAGTATTTTTGGACACACTTCATGTTTCTCTTTGTCAGGCAAAATCCTCGCTGGGGAGCAGCCAACACTGCCTTGGTCAGATGGCTACCAGCTGAATACGAAGACGGGGAGAGCGAACCAAAAGGCTGGAACCCAGAACGGCTCCATAATGGATTCCAACTTCCCCCGGTAATCTACAAAATACCGGTCCAACAGACACAAAAGTCTTGGTGGATAAATTACAGAAATGTAGAAATGAAGCCGGCTCGCCCTGCAAAACCCTGAGTTAATGTAGCATTTCATTTATTTTTCCTCACCTGTTTCACAGCAGATAACGTCCACAGCAATTTAGGAAGAGCACAGGAGAGTGTGAGATGACATAGATTAGAACCGCATTTATATATTGCATCTAGCGTATACACTACATCCATAACCTAAAAACAGTTGGTTTCTTATCATGTGGATAAACATAATTTCTTCCAAAAAAGCAGATGAAACCGTTTTGCTCACACTTGAATTCAATTTTAGTCCTAATTTATGCATTCATTACACAGAGTGAGGGCCTTTAGTTGGAGAACTCATCAAATATGCATCACTTGTATCCAGCCAACAGTTTACCACCATATCTGACTGCTGAAATTTACTACAGTGTTTCAGATAATAAATCAGAGTCCTAATATTCCATTTCTTATTGACTCACAGTGAGTGAACAACATCTTGATACTTCATGTGTTGCATTACTTGAGCACTACAAAATACAAATCCTGCTTTGTCTACAGGCCCGGACAGTCAGCAGGGAAATAATGACGAGTGCTTCTAAATGGAAAGATGATTCCTACTCTCAGCTGCTGGCGGACTGGGGCCAGTATATATCCCATGACATAACCCTGACGCCTCAAAGCACCAGCACCGATGGGTCAGATGTGGACTGTTTAAAAACGTGTGAAAATGTGCATCCGTGCTTTCCCATTAAGGTAAACAGAGAATCCATCATTTTCTTTATTTTTGTTGCTTGCACTTGTTTGTGTAAAAAATAAAAAAAAATAAAAAATCCCTTTTTTCCTGGACTTTTGCACAATAGCAGCCCAGTGAAGCTCACCCAGTTTGATCCTGAGATAATCACATATTTAAATACATAAAATAACACAGTAATAGGTTCATTGTAGTACTTCCCAAAAAAACCCATTTACATTAAAAACAAACAAACTTTAAAATCTCTGTTGCTATGAACTCCCTGGTGGTGGTGATGGACAGAGCTGTGCATCCTTGTTTGAAAAGTTCAAGAGCATGGTGTTAATGTTTTTGTCACCAGGCCTGTTTGTACTATAGGACCCTCTGTACTTGTATGACAGCTAGCTTTAAACTATGGAAAAAATGGAAGCCATGGTAATCTGGAGACCGAGTGCATGAGAAAAATCTCACACCATGCATAGATGTTACAGCTAGCTAGATGACAAGCGGTCACCTGCCCAGAGTTATAAACTTCTCCAACTGCCTTTAGTTATTAGCAGGAGCCCAGTCAGTCCTTTTTAATGCCATCCTACTTTGCAGGTGACATCTGACAAAATGACACCTTTCACTCTGGGATAAGGCATTGCTTTATATTACATACGTTTACTTTTCCAAATGTGAATTGGGCCTTCAAAATTCCATGACAAAGACGACAACAAATACATGTGGTAGATCAGCAGTAGTTTAAAGTTTACCGGAAGCACTAAATGATCAGTAAATGATTCTATCCTCTCTGCAGATGAATGATGGTCTACAAGGCTGTATGCCATTTTTTCGCTCCACATCAGACTGCTTTGTCAATTTTCAGTCTGGTATAAGACAAGCCCTGCAGCGACAACAGCTCAATGCCATGACTTCATTCATTGATGCTTCTGCTGTCTACGGCCACAATCAAAAGCTGGAGAGCTTCCTTCGTGACCTTCCTGGCCGTAATGGAAAACTTGCTGTCAATGCCCGATTCAAAGATCCAAAAGGAAGGCCTTATCTCCCATTTGTAACCAAGCTGCCATCAGCCTGCCACCAAGATCTGCAAGGGGAAAGAGTTGAATGCTTCAGTGCAGGAGACAACCGGGTCAGCGAAGGTCTGCCTCTGACTTCTTTGCACACGCTGTGGCTCAGAGAACACAATCGAATTGCAGAGGCACTGAAACACATCAACGGTCACTGGAGCCCAGAGATGATATACCAAGAGACTCGTAAGATCATAGGTGCACTGCACCAGGTAAGTGACAACCAAACCCAACTGAATCAGATGTAAAAAGTGACACAAAAAATTCAGTTTCAGTTGACATTTCATGTGATTCATGGAACAAACTACTGAATTTAAAAGAAAGTATCCAAAATGTTAATTTACTAGCGCTCAAGTAGGCACACAAAGGTAATTAGACTGATTAATTTGATGAATTCATTAGGCTAATATTTTGGATTCTGCTCAGATTCATTTATGCAAAGTCTGCAATCTGTCATTTCAGAATAAAAGCTGCACATTTTGAAATGTAGCAGCAATCTGCAGCAGAAAGGCAAAAAAGCTTTCAGCACTGTAAACTCTGTATTTCCAGGTTGCATCACACTTTTTCTCTTTCAAGTTTTCGCACTCTCAAGGCTACTTTGCAAGTACTTGCGATGAGTCAGCATCTCCCATGCAAACTGCAGTACTGTGCAAGTAACCAAAGCAGTCACAGGAAAGTTTGTGTCACAGCACCTTCTCTGTGACCAGATTCACCTGCCTTCACATGAGGTTGATAGTCAGCAGTTTCCAGCAGCCACTCGCCAACCGGTCAAGAAATACATTTTTCCTAGTTGACCAGTGGTTGCCAACCGTCTCCAGGCCTGTGTGACTTTTTATATTGCCAATTTTGTTTTTATTATAAACATCTCAAGTAGGCTAATAGTGATTTTAGTCATTTAAAACTAAATCTAAAATTTGTCAAACCCCTGTCCAATTCAATTTCAATTCAATTCAATTTCTTTATTGTCCCACAAGGGGAAATTAGTTTAGCAGCAGGAGGATAAGAACAAACAGCAGGAGGATAAGAACAAACAGCAGGAGGATAAGAACAAACACCCACCCTAAAGCTACTTTCAGTTTTGCATGCTTGGCCGCTCAAGGAAAACAAACATAATTCAATTTCTGCTATTTAATGTTTAACATTAACTGCCTAGTATTACCACAGAAGAAGCACCGTTTGCATTCACAGGCACGCTAACCTTTGAAAAAGCTTCAAAAGGGTAGTAGATCAAATTTGAGAGGGATGGTTTAGAAATGAAACGAAATGCAGGTTGTGCTCTAATCTATGTGAAGGCAAGACCACTAAAGTTCTAATGGATTCACACGTAGTGGGGCGTTTTAGACTTTAAAATCTGGACATACCATCCTCTATCACCAGCGCTGTTAAATAAGCGTAGCTACGACACTAGACGCAGAATATGATGAAAATAAAAGCTACTGTGATTCGCAGCTATAAAGCTTCTGCCGAGTAACACAAATGATGCCTGAGGGGGAACAAACTAATCTAGCATTTATGAGCACAGTGATTTCAGAGTCTGCAGATGCGAGTGTGTCACAATTACGTGGGAGAGCTGATATGAATGAGATGTATAAAAGAAAAGAAGCGATTCTTTTCATTTGAAGTTACTCGAGGTTATAACAGCATTGACTGTATTGTGTCTGAAGCTGCTGTGCACATGGAAAACAAACTCTGGTATTTCTGTGATGCACAGAAATTGCAGGCATACAATAAAACAACACACAACATGTACGCTCTTGTGACAATCTACAAGTATAGAAACTTATATCCTATACACTTTTTAAAAATAAAAATCTTGTATCCCTAAAGCTGAGGCAGAAAAAGTGTCTTAGACAACATTGTCTCCATTTACTGTGTTTTTCACTTTATCATGTCATTTCATCTGACATTAAAAAGTGACACTGTAGGTACAATAGCAGTATGGGTCTGTAGCAGTGAGACTAAAGGATGGTTCAGGGTCGCCTGATACAGCCTCAACTATATGCTTCATCAAAAACGAAACCTTAAAAATAGAGAGGGTGTGTGTCTCCTGAAACCAAACTGGGAGCTGGTTCCACAGGAGAGAGGTCTGAAAGCTGAAGGCTCTGCCTCCCAGTCTGCATTTAGTGAACCACAGTCTAATTCAGGGGTCCCCAATCCCAGTCCACGAGGGCCGGTGTCCCTGCAGGTTTTAGATCTCACCCTGGGTCAACACACCTGAATCACATGATTAGTTCATTACCAGGCCTCTGGAGAACTGCAAGACATGTTGAGAAGGTAATTTATCCATTTAAATCAGCTGTGATGGATCAAGGACATCTAAAACCTGCAGGGACACCGGCCCTCCTGGACTGGGATTGGGGACCCCTGGTCTAATTATTCAAGACCTTACTGAAGAAGTAACAAAAGCACAAACTAGATTTTCAACATCACTTAGAGGATTTTCTCTTTTTCACTGATCAGATAAAAGAAAGCAGTCCTGCATTGTTTTCAAGATGAATGTTGACTTCTCCCGATCAAAAATCACTCCAAGTTTCCTCACTGTGTTTCTGGTGGCAAAGGTAATCCCATCCCGAGTGCGTATCTTGTTAGACTCCATGTTTCTGAGACCTTTATAGCACAGTACAATAACTACATTCTGGTCTGAATTTGGAAAAAGAAAATTACGCGAGACATTTATGTCTTTAAGACGTGCCTGTAGTTAAATTGATTTGTGTTATCTAGCTTCAATGTTGTTAAGTCCCTGTAACAATAGCATTATTTCAATAAGTCTTTTTGCAGTATTATCTGAGGTTATTACTAACAGCTCCAAAGCAGCAACTACTCGATTTCCGAGGTCGAGAAATAAATTAAACTTGAGTTAGGGTTGATGAAGCGTGTGAGATCTTCAGCAATGTGGCTTTTTGTGCCGTTTACAGTAAGTGAAGATGGAGTTCTTGTTTTAGCACCATGTATAAGAATGACAGTTCCCTCTGCGAGCTGAGCGAGACATTATGAAGATAAACAGTGAAAAGCCTTCTCTATGGGGAAAGCTCTGCTGATTTAATGAATTCAGAAGTTGTCCGACCCTGACAGCTGCTGTTTTAAGTCTGATGACTGTGAGGATCAACCAGCCATGGAATTCCCTGCTTTGCTGTCATTGCTGGTGATGCTGCAGTTTTCATATCTGAAAACTGCAACTCCTAAGCCCATAAATTGGTATAAATTGGCTGCAGGGAACCATTTTATCTTAAACACTGTTCACATTAATATTATACATATTTGCAAGTCTCTGCTTGTAGTCGCTAGAGACAGAACAACAGAAAATTATCATGTGAATCACCTTATTTTTTTTCCAGTCAACACCTTTACCCAGCAGTTGTTTTAAAGCTTCCTCTAAGAATCTTGCCCAGCACCAAACAGCTAAGAAACCTAGCTACCATTAATTTGTGCAGAAACATGTCCCCAAATAATTACTGTTAATTATCTGCCTGATTTCAAATTGGAAACTGACGTATCCACTGAACTGGTCAGTGTATTTGTAGCACTGTGTCCCTCCAGGCCACAGAAACAGCCAGTAAATGCAAGCAGCTACATTTCCTCAGTTTTGCTCCAAACAAAACACGAGTCTGTTCTTTCTTTGTAGGTTCTTGATAATGAAGTAACAGATGGCATCACAGCTATGATGGCTCTCTCATTTTATTTATTTTTACGTGTCTTTATTATCCAATAGATACGCTTTTTACTACTGCTAAAGATGAGATCACACATTTTGTGGCAGGCCAGGCTTCAGAGCTTAGCAGAAACTGTTACCATCTCAGTGGTGTTGGGTGCAGGCACGTTGTGCACTACAATGACTGATTGGACTATTCCTTTCAGCTTCAGGCAGAGGGCGATTAATGATGAAGGAAGCGTGTGTACATTCTTCATGAAAAGTAACGAAGAAAATGTTTTATGATTGAATGCAAAGGATTTGTTGCTTATACCGAAGGGGAGCGGTGACCCTGGCGCTATCTTAAAGTTTCCCCAAACATTTTATTAGCAAGGGGAAAATAAGTCAGATTTTGTGTGCTGACATTTGACTACAGCAGTGGATTAGAAACTAGTATTTTCAGGTGACTCAGGGACAATGCTAGGGGAAAGAGATTTACAATATTAAAAAGAGATGGCCTAAGGTGGAAGGGTTCTTTAAATAATTTGGGAGGGTGAAGCATAAAAGGCAGGTAAAGGATTTACATACTGAAGCTATGACCAGCTTGGAAAATCCCTGTATTGGAAGCAGAGTGAAAAGTGAGGGACTATCTAGTCTGACCAGCCTGCAAACCAGCAGAATGTAACGTTATCTATTTTAACAAAAGGGGGAGGAAAAAAAGAATTAAAGTAGTACAGAAGGGGGGGGGGGGGGGGGGGGGAGTAAGAGAATTGAAAACTAAACTACAAGCACTTTTTAATACATGACAGATTTGTTGACCCCTTTGGAGGTGGGGTGCCCCCGGCCTCTCGGCCTGGGGCTCGGTCACTCAGGCACAGCTGGGGGCCGGCGGAGCTCACGGGCGCGTCACTGCAACTCCCCCTGACTTCTGCTCCGCGGCTGCTGGGCGAGCCCTCATCTGGGACTCTCCTCAGCTCTTACTGGAACAGTGGCGCGGCTGCCCCTCTGTTGGTCTTCCATGGTCTCTTGTGTTCTGGGGGCCTCTGGATGTCTGGAGTTTTGATCTCCTCCATACCCGCTTCACACCCTGGAGGACGGGGCTGTGGCCCCCCCACACTCCCTAGCAGATCATTACATGGAGAAACCTTTGGAATACAAGCATGCTGATCCACACAGGTATGCACACATGGGTATTCACAGACGCGGACTAAAGCTTTCTTGGCTGCTGCCTCAAAGCACACTGTGCGCTGTCTATCTTGCGTGCTGCACAATATCGTTTATTATTTAGTAAATATTGATATCTATGACTAGCTAGTTTATTGTGATGGTGCTTTGTTTTCTCTATTATTATGTTACTCTTTGTTGTTTGCTGTCTCCTCTGTTTGTTTTTTTTGTTTGTTTGTTTTTTTTTCTCCATACAGGTGACCCAGGAGTTCTTTTTTTTTTTTCTCTCTCTTCCCCCCCTTCTCACCGTCTCTTCTCCCCTTTGGTTTTCTTTCTTTCTCTCCCCCTCTTTCACTCATTCATTCCCCCTGTCCTATTTATTAAAAAAAAAAAAAAAAAAAAAAAAAAAAAAGACAAAGG